ATCCCAACTAGGAGTGCCTTCCCCAAGGTGTTCCCAAAGGCAAACAAGGCAGGGAGTTGAGAAGTTGCAAGCAGTCAAGACTAGAGTCCACAGAGCGGAGAGTGAAGCGTCCAGCTGATATGAAGTGAGGGGAGATGCACAAGAACACCCACACTTGCAGATAGTACCCACTTGACCTGGTTTCAATGGCTGGATGATCAGAACTCGACTAGAAGACAGAAGAGGAAAAAAAGAGTAATCCACTACAATTTGATGAACTTAATCTATACTTATGGATATAGTAGCTCAAAAGAGGAAACAAATCTTTACAGCGAGGATCATTCCCACCCCCTCGGTACACAGGGTTGACAGGGATGGGCAACTTAGACATTGGCTACCCAAAATGGGGGGCTACAAAGGAACGAAGTGACTGGCTTACAATCATTCAAGAGGGAGCCTAGCTCCAGAGTGGTTTCCAACCTGTCTGGAACGGGGCTGATGAATGGAGATGGGGATAAGACCACAGGTTCAATAGTGAATAATTGCTATCAGGACTGACTGTGAGTATTGAAAATGTAAAGGTAGATATTTCATAACAAAAGGAGAGGAGTGGTTGGTCTTGCAGTCCAGGAGCAGAGGTCTCTGGGACCATCAAGGGAAAAGAGTGGAGTGCGGGATCCTATCCAGAGAAGCAGTGATGCCAGAGATGGAGGCAGAGACAATGACGTGAAGAGATGGAGCAGCTGGGAACTCTAGACTCAGGGAGACAGAGGGTCTCTGTGCTGATGGCCGGGGGCCAGGCTTGCAGGGTATACCCTTTGGTTGTTTGATAATGCATGGAGGGGATTGTAATCATTGCAATGAAATGAAATACGATAGGATGAATGTAAAGCGAATGTTCCCCCATGTAAACTATCACATAATTCACAATAAAAATTTAGGGGAAAAAAAGACTGGTGTCCCAACGATGGTTCTCAATGGCAGTTGGAAGCTCGGGAGCACTCCCAAATCCTTCAGGTTCAACCCGAGCCCCTTATTTCTGCTTAGTTCTGTACTGCCCCCCACCCCCACCCCACTGGCTCCTTCCCACATACAACCCAACCCCCACCCCTCTCTCTCCTACCCTGACCCTAATCCTAATCCTTCCTGCTCCCACAGATTCCTACAGCCCTCTCCCTTTCCCTGCTCACCCCACACCACCCAGCAGTACTGAGCTGCTCATTGGGAACAGGAGACTCCTCTGGGTTGCACACAGGCAGGGGCTTCTGGGGCTGAGACCCAGCCTTGGGGCAGGGCAGCTTCTCATCAGAGGACTGGACAGGTGGGGCTACCTTCCAGGGCAGTGGCTTTGTCCACTCAGCATCCCTGAGATGTAGGAGAAGGTGAACATTCACACAAGTCATGAGCTGGCAAGTGAGCTAAACACCCCTGCCCCTTGGGCCCACAGAGTGCTCCAGCTTTACCCTCTCTGGGGCCCCAAAGAGCTCACCAAGACTTCCTCTGAAACCCAGAGCAAAGGGCTGTGGTCTCTGCTCTCCAGCACACTGACCATCCGGAGTCCTGCAGGCCCTTCTGTGGGAGCACAGCATCTACCCTGAAAACAAGGGACGATGCAAAATGAACATTTGTAAGCATGGGCTTTCTAGATGGCCTCGGAACCCCTGGACACCTGCTGAGCACGGGGTCCAAGGTGGGTGGAAGCAGCTCTCAGATCCCCAGTCCTATACTTCCAGGGGGCTTCACTACCCCTGTGCAGCGCTTTCTCCCTGCCCTCCTGCACCCTCCAACCTGGACTTGCTCCCTGAAGCCGTTCTGCCCTCCCAGCAGTGGGCTGCCCACCCTTTCTCCGCTCTGAGTCTTCCTTCCACCAGGCACTCTTACCTCCAGGGTCCTCCCCAGCCCACCACACCACTGACTGGGAACCAGACCTAGAGTCCAGCCTGTGCTGGCCCCATCACAGTGATGTGTCACACACCAAAGCAATCCTCCCCTCACTCAGGGTCCTGGGACCCCTCCACATTACTGCCCACCTGCTCCTCTCACCAGAAGCAGCGACTGCCTATGACTCTCTGACACCACTTCCCAGGCTGGTGCCCGCTCTGTGGTCACTGTGTGTCTGCATTCCTTGTGCCTGACTCCTGCTAGGCTCAGAGTAGGAGCAAACAACAAAGCTCACTGCACCTCAGCCGTTAAGACAAAACAGGGTGACAGGGTTGGCAGAGTTAGTTGACATCTAACTCAGAGTCACCCAGGTGCAGGGTGGTGGCCAGTAAAAGGAAGGGTGAGCTGAGGGGGTCGTGCGACACAGAGGTGGGGTCACAGGAGAGAGGAGGCATGGAAACAGAGCACCTGCAGTCAGCAGGGGCGAGGGACACCTCAGGGAAACTAGAAGAGGTTTTCTCCATCAGCTTCCTAATTCACAGAGCAGAGGGTAGAAATGGTGCAGTCACCTCAGAAGAAAGAATGAGGTTGGGTATGGAAACAGCAGTGGGACAAAGTTGGGGAAACAGATGATGGGCAACAACGTTTTATAGACAACCGGGTATTGGAGGCAGCTAGGGACAGAGGTTATAGAGGGTGATGGGATTTCTGGCATTCATTGAGAGGATGTGTATAAAGAAGTGGTCCTCTGGGACCAAGAGGAGGAACAGAGCCAGGCCAGGAAAAGAGAGCTCAGGACAGAGGCTCAGCTTAGAGATTTGAAGCTACACCAGCTACCAGTTCAGGCAGCTGAAGACTTATGTCTAGGCTGGGGACTCACGTGACCTGGTGAGTATCTGAGAGATTGGGGTGAAGACAGAGTTGTTGGTGAGTGAAGCGAGAAGTGGAGTTCGTTCCGACTCAGAGACTCTGTATAGAGTTTCTAAGGAGTGGCTGGTGGATTTGAACCACCACCTTAAGGTTCAAAGCAACCCTGAGGTTCAGTGCTCATCCTACAGCACCACACCAGGCGCTCCCAATATCCCCAGAAGCAGGCAACTCAACAGGGTTTCATTTCTTATAAATTTATTACATAATAATATTATAATAATTATTATCAATAATAATAATAATATAAGAAACATAGATCTCTGTGGGGTGTATCACAACGTCAGGGTCAGGAGGCCTCAGGGCTGGAGCAGGAGTGAAATCCCCGATGGAACTCCATACAAAAGGAGGGGAAAGCCGAACTGACCCTGTAAGTTAAAAACCCAAATGGAACGGAACCAAAAACCCACAGGTGAGTGAGACCGAGTGTGTATGTGGCAGTCTGGTACAGCGACTGCGCCTGTGTGTGACCCGGGCTATTGGTGATGGGCTAACTGGGTATGACTGTGCTAGGATTGGGCTGGGGACATGGTGAGGTGTGCTCGGGGGACCAGCACAGACCTGCGTGCTAGGCCCCTGGGCTGTGAAAACTTCTGTTTTCTTTTTTTTTAATTTTTTTTATTAAAAAAAGCTAGAAATACAAACAGAAACTTGTGAGTGACGTGGATGGAGCTGAGTCCAGACTCCAAACCCTAGTTTTAAAAACACCCCAGGACCCCCCCACCCCACAGGTCATTGCTGAGCGTGAGGAATCACAGTAAGGGGGGCTGGGCGCCCTCGGGGGTCCTGGCCTCACCCCAGGGTCTTCGGTGGCCTGGCTCTAGGGGCCCCTCTGTGGTCCCCCAGAAGCCCGAGGGGGTACTGCTTCCATGGGGCTCTTGGGAACCCCAGCTTAGACTGGAGCTGGTCCCCAGGACGAGCGTGGCAAACGCAGATCCCAGTGGCAGGATAGCCTCTCGTCTTTCTTTGGAAGAGGCACGAACCCCCACGCACTCCCGCACGCACCCGGGAAGAAACAGCTGCATGCGCACCGTGCACGCGCTCCAGCCCATGCGCCACCACGCTCACCCCCGCCCCCCTCCCGGCCCCCCAGCGCGCACCCATGCACACACTCCCATACACGCACCCTAGCTCGCACTCCGCACGCACCCCGGCATACGTACCCATGCATACACTACGCCGCACGCACTTTCGCACACGCTTCCGCAGCCGCCACACCGAGTGCCGAGTGCCCGGGCTGCTCCCCACAGCCACGCGGGGTCCCACGCGCCCAGAGTAGCACACACGCACGGCAGGACAGGAGACTCTGGAATCTGAGGCAGAGGAACTTCTCTGCTGTGTTTGCCCAAGAGCATGGGGTTGAGGCTAGACCCCTCCGCGCGGGGAGAGACCCTGTGAGGGAGATGGCTGGAGGTGGAGGGCCAGGGCGCTCGGGCGCTCCCCCGTGGCGAGGGTCTCCCAGCCTCCCCGACCCAGCAGGACCCGGCTACCTGCCGCCCCTCTCACGCGCAGCACCTGAAGGGTCGGTAGGGACACTACAGCTCAGCGGAGGAGGGGGCCGAGCTCAGGCCCCATGTCGGGCCACTAGGCCCCTGGCCAACCCCAGACCAGCTGGAGCGCCCCCCGCCCCCGTGTGGGGTCGCAGTGGCAGTGTGGGGCTCGGCTCATGGAGGGACCCAGCCGGAGATGGAAGACTTGGCGGCCGCAGCAGCGGGACGGTAGGGACTGGAGAGGGACAAGGACAGGGGAAGGGAGAGGAGGGAAGCGATTACGGACAGAGATATTTGTTCCTTTTCTCGTTCCAAATATAGAGTGGATTAAAATATGCAAAACAGGGGGCTCTTTGGCCCCCAACCGAGAACCCCAACGTCTCCCCCCTCCCCCCGAGTCACCAAGGCGTGTCCTGACCTCGCATGCTGGACTAGGTCCCCCCTCTGGGAGAGTGGCCACCAGAAGCTGAGCGGGACGGGGTCAAGTCGGTTCGGCCTCTCCCGTGGCTCCCCAGCCTCCCTGGACCTCACCCTCTTGACCGTGTGCGGGATGGGGCTCGGTGGCCGGGGAGGGGTACTAAGCAATGTACAGGGCAAGTCTCCGAGCAACAGCAAAGGACAATTCATGCAACATTCCTGGCCCGGCGCCGTCGTAGGGGGCAGGCCGAGCCCGCGGCCCAGGGTGGGGGAGCCCTGCCGGCAGGGCGCGGCGGGATGTGGGCGTCAGCTGCCGTCCAGCTGCTTGAGCGCGCGTTCGATGTTCATGCGGTGGCCCACGCGCGTAACGCCCAGCTCCACGAAGTCGTCCTTGGTGAGCGCCGGCAGGTGGGCACCCTCGATCTCGTGGTCCTCAAAACGGTCGCGGTGTTCGCCCAGGTGGATGCTCTCCAGCCAGTCGCCCACGTCAAACTTGCTCCAGAGTTGCACCGGTTTCTGCTGGAAGGGCCGGCGCGGGCCGGGGGCGCTGGAGCCCGGCGCTGGGGAGGGCAGCGGGGAGGGCGAGGGCGAGCGGCTGCGCGCGCTCACGCTGCGCACCACGAAGCGCACCTCCTTGGGCTCGTGTGGGATGGAGAGGCTGGACGACTTGAGGATGGTGGGGGGCGTGAGGCCGAAGGGCCGCCCAGCGCCCCCCGCGCCCGCCCCCAGCCCCTCCACCCGCTCCAGCGACGCGGGCTTCACTGGGCTCGGGGTGCGCCGAGCCACTGGGTAGCGGCTGCCAGGCCGCACAGTGTAGGAGGCCCCGCCGCCCGGGCCCCCGGGGCTGCGCTGCGCTGAAATGGAGCTCAGCTCACCGAGGCTGCTGAAGAGCCTGCGGAGGGAGAGGGGGTCAGGGCGGGTGAGGGCTGCCAGCGAGGCGGGAGGATGGCAGGAGGGGAGCAGTGGGAAGGGCCAAAGGGACGTGAGCGCTGGGGCCGACTGGGGCGACTTCCTGGGAAGAGGAGGAAACAAGGGCGGGGTCCTATCGTTTTTTTCCTGCCCTATTGCTTGGACCGCGAGGGTCGAAGCCTGCACCCTGCTCTGGGCTGAATGGACTATGAGAAGAAAGTCGGCTGCCCCTCTCCACTCCACCTGGTCCAAGAGCAGCCTGTTAGAGGGAAAGGCTGGCTGCCCCCTCCCCAACAGCCCCTGGACATGCTTCATCCTAAGGCTCAGGCAGTACCCTTCCCCCTCCCCCATCCGGCTCTGCTCTTAGAAGACACCTGAAGACACCTGGGGCGGCTGTAGGGCTGGCTGAGTCAGTGGCAAAGGCTGGCGGCAACAGAAGCTGAGCAGGTCCACAACAGCGGCTCACCCAAGACAGGCCCAGGTGCACACAGAGCAGCAGCACGTGCAAGAGAGGTGCAAACGGGTGTGAGACAAGTTCAAGGTGGCACACACCCACACGGATGTGAAGCATAGGCCCAGCATCACACACGAGTGTTGCAAACGTGCAGCAACAGCCTGCTCTCAACTGGGACACACACACACTCCCACACAAAGGGCAGATGGTGCTCACATCCTTGCCTCTCCAAACAGGACCCCAGGCCTCCAGCCCCACCCCAGCTTGGCCTCAGGGGGAGGACTGTCTAGGGAACTGTGCAGAGAAAGCCCACTCCTGTACCACCCCAGGGGGCTGTCAGGGGCACCGAAGCCCCCCACACAGCCAAGCAGATCCTGTAGGCCAAGCGCAGCCACGTGGACGGTGAGAGGCATGGGATGGGTGCTCACTTACACAGCCGGCACTCGGGGCCACCGCGCAGCTAGACAGCGCAGCCACATGCAGATGGGCAGGAAGAGAGTAATGAGAGAGAGTGTTAGCGCAGGCGGCCACAGGGCACCACTGGCTTGACGCCCCGCGGAGGGGGGGGATGGGAGGGAACCAATGCTGGGGGCGTGGGGCACGGCTGGGACAGTGTTTGAGGATGTAGGCTAGGGATGGGAGGGTCTGGGTAGATGCTCTATTTGCCTCCGGTGACCTGAGTATGTTACTGAGCTCTGGACATCTGGCGTGTGAGGTGCAGCCCATAAGGTTGCCCACCTTCTAGCTCACGTTGTCTTGTTTCTGCCCCCAGCTGCAAACCTTTCTCCTTCTCCTTGGACCTGCCTGAGCTGGGTTATGGAAGCCTCTCTGGCTTTTCCCACTTGAGCTTCTGCCTCGAGCGTCTCTCACTGGGAGGAACCCCCTCATTTCCTTCCCATAGCCCCGGGCTGCTCCCTCTCCTCACCCTTAGCAGGTGCAAAGGTACCACCTAGTGGTGAGGTGAACTGGGGGGAATGCGGACCCCAGGGACTTACCCCTGGGGGAGTGGGGCAGGCCGGACTAAGCGCCTCCTGCCTCAGCCCCTCAGGGAGGGAGTCTGCCTTGTGTCCTCCAGCCTCCTACGCTGATGCTAATGGACTAGGTGTTCCCATCAGAACGTCTCAGGACCACAGCCTCAGGGCTGCCACCAGAAAGACCGTGAGCTCTGCAGGGACCCTGGCCACAGCCCTCTGGAGCTACACAGTGAGCCCCTACAGAAAGTGGGCCTGCTCCCAGTAGGAAGACTAGGGTTGGGGGAGGTGAGTCCACTCCTACTACCTCTCACACTGGCTGGTGATGAAGAGACTCACCCTGGAATGCTGTGCCCACCCCCAAACTCCAGCAAGGACGGAAGAGGGTCAGCACCAGGCCAGTGTCCACTCCTCCTCCCCATTCAGGGAACAGGGGCTGTGTGGTACGCAGGGCAGAAACCACAATTGTGTTTAGCTCCAGGTCCCACCTCCATCCATCACCACTCTCAACTGTGACTCTCTCCCTCAGCCATGAACAAGTCTCAACACCTTCCAACCTCCCAAAGGGCTTCCAGGCCAGAAGGTTCCTCAGTATGCACCCTCAGCCCCTGAATCCCATAGTCTGGATTGCTTCCACCATCCAAATTCTGCACCTTGTTCTTCCTGGACTCTGTGGCCAGTGAGGCCCCTCCTCTGCCTTCCAGTCTCTCTCCTGGGTCTCAGGGCCTGTCTGCAGGAATTGCCTATGTTCCCAGAGATAGCCAGATCTGCTGTGTGGGTCCCAATCCCCATCAGTGGAAGGTACCCAGCTTTCTGTCTTCCAATTCCCCTTCACTCTTACAGCCTCCTCCTCTGGTTCCAGAACCCAAGGGCAGCACGTGGGGCTGTTTCCAGTTCCTGACCCCAGGAGCTGAACAAGTTACCAAGCCTCGGGCCAGGGTCGGGCTGCACCTGCTGGCTAAATGACCATCATGTGGAGCTCCCAGGGCACATGCCTGAGGCCTCCATCAGGATCCTCACTGAAGTGAAATGGCCCTGCCCCAACTTCAGAACACCCCTCACTCAGGCCTTTCTCCAAAGACAGACTGTGAAAAGAGAGGAGGGTACCAGTCTGGTCTCGATCCATGATGGCCCCCAGACTCTACAGGGAGGGTTCACCTCCCTCCTGAGGTCAAAAGGTAAGGCCAGGGGGCAGTAACACCACCCAGTATTGAGGTCAGAAAGGAGCGTCAGAGGAGTGAAGAGGACACGTGCTGGAGAGAGACTCCGAGTCTGGTGGTGTGCCACAGCTGGGTCCAAGCACACCTGACTTACAACAAAACAAACTTGCTAGTCACTCACACACCAGTGTGGAGTGAGGTGGCCCTCCACCATTTCTGCCTGTGAGCCTGGTGTGTGGGGTCAGAGGGCAGGTGGGTCAGCAGCAGGCTTCTCTCTGGAGGTGACATGGCCTTGCCATCTGACAGCACCTCATTCAGCCTTAAGGCCCAGTCACACCTGCTACCCTTCCAACAGGTGACCTCCTTGAACTGAAATCAGGGCCATCTGACCATGAGCTGGCATCGGGATCGAAGCAAATTCACGTCATGTTTAGATGGCCTCTCCCCTCTGCCAGATGGGTTCCCTGACTTCAGTGAGTGATGCACAGGGGAGCAGAGAAACCACACGAAGTCAACGAGAAGCAAGGATTTGGCAGGAACAATTCCGAACAAGAAGATCCCCCTGCTACTGGCATTCAGAACACAGAGCACCAAGGCCAGAATTGCTGGCCTCACCCTGCGGGCAGGCCAAGCACTAGAGAGGACAGTGGGGCAGTGCAGACAGGAGGGCCAGTGGTTTCAGGAAAGTGCCTCACTCCTGCCCAAAGGAACAAGCAGTGACCGACATAGGGCCATCTGTCTTCTGCTGCACTGCCCTAAGCCGCCTCCCTAGCCCTCACACCACAAAAGACAGAACATGCATTTAGCTTCCTTCTTTCATCCATTTAACGAGCGTTTATTAAGGGCCTGCCACATGCTGGGCACTGTACCACGCCTGTCCAGTGGCTTTGAGTTTCCTTGAGGCCATGAGGCAGAACAGCAAGGGAGCTGCTAGGGGAGGAGACGTGGCCAAGAGCTGAGAGCTAACAACCAGGTCACCTGCCTGAACACACATCCACACCCTCACACCCGCTCTTCGACACTCTGCTCTGCACTACTTGGGAAGGCTTGGGCGTTGGATTAGGAGTTGGAAGAGATTAACAGGGAAGGAGCCATGGGCCCCAACCATTGGACGACAAGAACTGAGAGGGGCCTGGACCCCGCTTCCCAGTCGTGAGTGGGAAGTGAGGATTCTGCAGAGCCCCTGGGCTCCAACCCCTGCCGACAGGAAAGGGCCTGCTGGTGGGTCTTCCGGGCAGCAAAAAGTGGGGTGGGGTGTGGTGTGGGGTGTGGGGGGTACTGAAAAGTAGCAGGAGAGACCTAGAGGGACAGTGACAAAGGCAGACAGGAGGGCCAGCCAGCTCTGCCCTCGGCCAGCAACCAGGCAGGAGCCCACCCCTCCCCCCACAGAGGTTCCGCGGGGAGGGGGGGGGAGGTGGTTCTCAAAGAAAGCCCCAAACCCTCTTCCTGCCAGCATCTCCACATGTCCAGAGGTTGGGGGACTGAGAAGAGAGAACAGTGAGGTGGAGGGCTCCCAGGCAGGGCCCAGAGGAGGGGGAAGGGACACTCGAAGCCCTCCCCCAACCCCCCCGCAAGGGAGGCACCAGCGCTGGCAGTCACACAGCCCCAGGCAGCCAGACAGCTGGGGAGAAAGGTCGAGTGGGGAAGGCCGGCCCCAAAGAGCCTTCTATTGCCACCAGTGGACAGGGAGGTGGAGCACAGTGGACGATGGAGAGGAAGGAGGGACGGAATGGGCCATAGACTCGGGACGGGCCCCCTCCCCACACTGCCCTGCTCACCGAGCTGCCGCGATGGGTGACTTCTTGGCGGGGTCCAGCAGGCCACCCAGGCCGCCAACTGGCTCCTCCCCCAGGGAGCGTGTGTCTTTGTTCAGCTGCTGCAGGCGGGAACTGAGCTCGCTGATCACAGTTGGCTTGTCATCTTCAGGCCCGGGGAGCCCCCGGCTCTCTACGGGGTCCCCCCACAGCTTGGACCTTCTCTGGAAGAGGTAGCGAGGGCGGGCGGGCCCGGCGGAGGTGGCGTGGTGCTGCTGCGTCATGAGCTCGCTGTCCGAGGACTGCTTCAGCAGTGGGTCCCTGAAGGTCACCGGCCCCTTCCCCAGTGGGGACTTGAGCTTGGGCTTGGGAGGCACTGGTGGCTTCTCGAGTAGAAAAGTGTGTCCGTCAGCGAAGGAGGTGTGGGTGTCAGTGAGCTCCCCGCTCTCCGAGCTCAGGGTGGACATGCTGGACACGGTGGAGATGGTGCTTGTGGTCTCCAGGTGGGGGTCGCTGGAGCTTCTTGTATCTGCCTCTTCCACACCTGAGTCAGCGGCAGACTCTGGGGCAGGGGGTGGCTCTATGCCCGGCTTCCCTGAGGCCGGGCTGGGCCCTGTGATGGGCGAGGGGCCTGGGCCCGGGAGTGGGGTGGCCAGCAGGACCCCATTGGCAAACTCTTCAGGGGGTGGCACCAGCCCAATGCGAGCAAGCTCCTCACGGGTCTCCTCGTCACTGGAGGATAGATGGGCCGGTGGCAAATTCACAGCAAACACTAGCTCAGGCTCCTCTTCCGAGCTGCCCTGGCCGGGCCCAGGGTCCACCGGGGTGCTGCTGGGGGGCTGGGCCCGAGGGCTGGGCAAGGGCTCTGCCATGGTAGCTGCTGATTGCATGGGGGCTGGGGCCAACTCCGGGGAGCCCGGGTGCTCCTCTTCAGCCCCCAGCTGGCCAGGCTCCTGCCCGTTGCTGGTGGCATGCACAACAATGAGGCCGGCTGGGCGTTGCAGGGACGTGTCCAGGACGCTGAGAATCATGGACTTCTTGTCATCAGGTGATTTCCGCTCCTCACGGGGTGCCTTCTCAGGCTCCCTGCGTGTGGGCACGGGAACCCACGCCGGGCTTCTTGGGGAGAAGACCGGCGAGGCTAGGGCCCCTCGATCCGAGTCCCGGGACTGGACATCCACAAACAAGGGCCCAGGGCGGTCAGCGTCAGGGCTGTGTACGGGAGTGGGGGAGCGGGAGGGCGCCTGAGAAGCCAAAGCTCGCTCGCGGGCAGCCAGGGCGAGCGCCAGGGGCGAGCTGGGGTCCAGCGGCTTGCCAGTGAGTGGATGGATGAAGGTGGAGCCCGAGGACCCGAGGCTGGGGCCGCTGACCAATGGCTTCAATGCGGACACGGGGGAGGGTAGCAGCAGGTCGCGGCTGGGGGCGGATCCGGTGCCTAGGAGGCGCTCGTCTATGGAACGGGAGGGCTGCAGCGAGGGCAGTTCAGCGCTGGGGGGGCTGCCCTCGATGGCACCCACTGACAGGAAGACGGTGGAGCGGCGCCGCTCCTCCAGCCTGCGGTCTTTGGCCGGGCCCGGGCCGCCGAACGCCAGGCCGGGGCCATCGCCGGGACCGTAATCAAGACCTCCGACCCGGGGCCCGCGGTGCGTTGGGGAGGGATCGCGAGCGAAGCTGCCGGTGCCTGGGCCGCCGGTGCCGCTGTGCGCCAGCGCAGCGCGCTCCTGCGCGTCCTCCACCTGCAGCTGCTTCACCAGCGGGCTCTTGCGGCGTTGCGGCTTGGACGGCGCGAAGAGGCTGGCGCTGAAAGCGCCCAGGTTGGCGTAGGGGCTGTCGGGGCCCGGCGGCCGCGGGCGACGCTTCAGGCGCTCGGGTGGGGTGGCGGCAGGCGGGGGCCTTGCGCTGTCAGACGCCTCGGGCGCCGAGTCCTGCAGGATAATCATGGAGCGTGCGCGCTTTTGCCGCTCAGGGTAGGGTAGCGGGCCCAGAGGCGCCCCCGGCTCGTAGAGCCCCGCGGCGCCCGCACCCAGGCGCGCCTCTAGGCCCGGCTTAAAGCTGGAGCGCACCGTGTCATAGGCGCGGCTCGGCGGTGGTGGCGGTGGCGAGAAGGCAGGCGGCGGCCCTGAGTCGTAATAGTAAGGGCCAGGTGGGGGCGGCGGAGCGGTCTGCGGTGGTGGTGGGATACCGCGGCCCTCGCGACCTGTGTCCTGCATGGACGAGCTGCGCGGGAAGCGTCCCTCCAGTAGGGATGCCAGCTTCTCGTCCTCCCCTGCAGACAGAGGCATCCAGGGACCCGTGAGGCCGGCAAGAAGCCTAGACTGAGGACAGGGAGCGCTGGCTCTGTGCCCCAGACCCATGCAGGGTAGGGGGAAAAAACCACAGTGGAGGCTCCCTGAGAAGACTGCTTGTCGGCTGGGAAAGGACTGTCAGGAGGGCGTGGGGACAGAAGTGCAGAGCGCTATCTGTGCTAGGAGACGGTATGAGGAGGGGCTGGCGGCAAGGTTCCAACCATAGGCTGAGAAGGCACAAGCTGGGGAGAACCCAGGGAGAGATGCCAGTCAGGTCAAGCCCAGAGGCCCCACCCCCAGATATCCACGTGGGTGGGACGTACTGGGAAGCGCCAGCCACCAGTAGCAGTGTGTAAGGGGTGGAGCTTGCAAAGAAAACTAAAGCTACAGACCCAAGCGCCAGGAGCACGTTCTAGAATGTGTCCTTGGACGGGTGATGCATGAACACAAGAAGGAAGAAAGCAGTGAGTGCCAGGAGCCAGCACAGGGTCACCAGTGGACACACCTCCTTCCTCACAAGATGCCGAGGGAGCCCAGACCCGGCTCAAAGGCAAGGGTGAGGCCTTGGCCACTGCTGCTGCCCCACAGCTGGAACCCAGGAAGGGCTGGATGGACAGACAGACAGACGGATGAGGATGGAACTGGAGGATGAGCACTTGGGTTCAAGGTCAGTCTTACCCACTACTGGTCATGTGGCCCCAGACCTGAGCCCATCGGAACTCTCGTCACACCTGGCTCAGGCTGTAGTAAGACCAGAGCCCGCAGAACCTCAGAGAGGTTCCTGGGTTCCGAGACAAGATTCGTCTGAATCCTAGCTCTGCCAGTCTGGATAATGCCCCTAACTGCCAGGCGCTTCTAGTCCCTTGCCTGTCCTCTGGTGGGCTCGCGCAGAGAACAGTCCCACCAAACCTCAGACACTTCAAGAGTGCCTCCATCGTGACCTGTGCCCAGTCTCCTGCCTGGCTGTGCTCCCTGCATCCTGTGGACTAAAGGGCCAGGAGACTGGAGGGATGTTCAGAGCCAGGCAGTGAGCCATCATGGCATTGTCCCCAAGCTATGACTCAGGGGAGTCACCCACCCAGGGACAGGACGGACACCTGGCCTGAGCCCATGGATAGTGGTGGGGAGGAGGACCCACATCTGCTGGCCTGTGAGCATACCATGTTCCCACGAGCAGTCCCCTAGGAAGCCTCGGAGCAACTGAGCTCCCACTTTCAGAGCTCCAGCCCCTGAGGTTCCAAAGGTCAAACTGTGTGCCCAGGGCCTAGGGAGCAACGCCAGCCAATACTCTTGGGGGCCGCTGGGGGCCAAAGGGCACCTCACCATCCTAGTGCAATATGGTCCGGGGTCTCAGGGACAGGGTGAGCTCCCTGTTAGAACAGTCAGACCTGAGCTCTTCAGAGGAAGGGTGCATGTGCAGCCCCCAGCCCCCCACATACTTAGTACCACTTACACAGAGTTTGTGTCCTCTGGGAACCCCACTCGTCCTGTGTGTCTACGTCCAATGCCCCAGTCCCTGTGCCCCCAGGTGCCCCCACAGCATCTGAGTGTGTCTTCTCATGGGACCACCAGGCTGTCTGCCTGCCTGCCTCCTCCCCGCTGTGCCACAAAAGTGTGGAAGCTTGGCAGAGCTCAGTCCTGGGCCTACTACACTGGCCCCTGGGCGGGGTGAGGGAGTCTGGGTGTTTGTTGGGCTGCTGTGGGACCTTGGGCAGGGCACTTTACCTCTCTGCCTCAGTCTCTTCATCTGTAAAACAGAGGTGCTCATAGTGCTTACCTGACTGTAAGCAGTCAGCAACCAGTGTGAACAACAGGCTGCAACAGCCACTGACCATAGTGAGGGGGGTGACAAGTGACAGGGGGATACACATGGACTTAAGCAAGCAGCTGAGGGAGCAAGAGAAAAGGCTGACCAGGAACTGGGTAGGTGATGGGCCAGCCACCAGGGAGCCTCGGACAAACCAACACTCATGGACAAAGCTGAGAGGGAGGTCAGGAAGGGTTGTCCTGAAGGCCTAGGGGGAAAGAGTTCTGCGGCACAATGAGCCAGCCGAGAGGGGAGCCACGTTCATAGCCAGGTTAGGCAAAAAAGGCCAGTGGCTGGTGGGGGAATCAGTGTGGGAAGGGGTGAGGGCCTGCAGACAGAGAGTGTGGGGATGTTTTTGAGAAAAGTGTCTGTAAAGGGGAGGAGGGAAATTAAGCAACAGCAGGAGGGGGAGGTAGGTTCCAGGAAAGCGTATTTTTAGGATCAGAGACTGAACGTGCATCCTACAGAGAAGCAGCCGGGAAATGGAGACTCAGACCTGAGGGAAACGGTGCCTTGAGGGGCAAGGGAGCAACGAGACACTGTCCACAAATCTGGGCAGGAGATGGAGGGGAGCCTCAAGGTGTCTTCCAGCAACCTATCTCTGGGCAGGGGGAAGGACTGAGCCCACCTATGTTCCACAAACAAATTAGGCCCATGGGTCTCCTCTGCCAGGGGAGGAGAACTTGGATGAAAACTAGAGACCCCAAAGGGAAAGGTGGGAAACCGTCAAGTGACGTGGACCAAGTGGCTGGGAAGACCCAAGAGGCAGATGTCCTCAAGGCCTAGATCCACCCCCCAGGCTGCATGCCACCCCACCCCCCTGCCCCACATCCAGCCTGGCCGTACCTACAGACTTGGTCCGCGGCAGCCCCTTCCGGAGTGAGCCAGGCAGCTTCTCTGGGCCCGGAAGGCCCTGTCGCTCAAACAATGACTGTGGGGTCAGGTGACAGGGAGGTTCTGGGGCCTTGGTTCTCCTCTAGGCCCCATCCATCCCCCCTGAGCCTGAGGACAGACACCACCCGCTCAGTCCTGGGCTGCCTAGACCCAGGGACCAGGGACCGGCTTTGCCCCAGCAGGTGCGGGGTGGCAGGAGGAGCCGAGTAAGAGCAGGATGCCCAGGAGACACTGTGGAGGGTCCTTCCTCGTTGAGGGTGATGGGCCCTCACCCCAGGAAATGCACAAATGCCCCAGAGGGACCCAGGTTCCCTGTGGGTACTGGGCAGATGCTGGAGGAAGCCGTCTTGTGGCCAGTATGCAGGACTCCCCAGGGGACAGAGAGCCAACATGACCACACATTGCACAAGGGCCCATGCCCACAGCTGACCCACTCAGGCCACATGCAGGGGGTGAGGTCTCAGAAAGGGTGTGGGGGTCAGAGATGCAAGGCCCACACACCCCCATCCCAGCAGTTTCCTGCCAGCCACCCAACTCACACTGATCTCGGCTGGCGTGATCCTGCGGCTGGTAGGCCGCTGCTTGACTGTGGCTGCTCTTGAATCAGCGTCTGCAATATCAGGTCTCAGCGTGGGCTCCGCTGCTGCTGCCAAGATCTCATCCAGCTTCTCTGCATGTCCAAGGGTGCCTCATCAGCGCCTGCTGCCCTCAACACCCGCCCCGGGAACCCCCAAGGCTTCTGGTGCCCTCAGAGGTCTGCCATCCGGACCCTCCAAGACCCCACACTATCCCAACCCTGCCTCTCAGGGGAAATCTACTGACACCAGGGACAGGACCAGGGTGGGAGGTCCATCAAGAGTCCACTCCCCTCTGTCTTTGCCCGTCTCAGCAATCATCAGCATGTGTGTGCTGAGCAGACATGTGGTCAGGCGGATGGACAGATGAGAAACAAATCTGCCAACCTAGACTGCTGTTGCTGTGAGATGCCTTCAAGTTGCCTCGGACTCATTGTGATCCTATGCACAACAGAATAAAGCATGACCCAATTCTGTGCCGTCCTCACACCTGTGGACACGTTTGAGCCCATTGTTGCTGCCCCTCTGTCAATCCATCTCGTTGGAGAGGTCTTCCAGGGCTAGATGCGTGAAGTGTGGGTCTGTACAAATCACCCCATCTTCAGATGGGGGTGGGAGTGTGGAGAAGGTGGAGAGATAGGCGCCATGCTGGGAAGACAATAGGATGGCAGCAGCCACAGAGGAAGGAGATGAAAGCCCAGGACAAAGAGGTGCCTTCTTAATCTGCTATGAAGGAAGCATCCAAAGAAGATGAAAGGAATACAGAGTCACTGTACCAAAAAGAACTAGTCGATGTTCATCATTTCGAGAAGCAGCGTATGATCAAGAACACCAGATGGTACTGAGGGAAAAAGTCCACGGTGCCCTGAAAGCATTGGCCAAAAACAAGGCTCCAGGAATTGATGGCGTACAAATTGCGATGTTTCAACCAACTGATGCAGTGTGAGAAGCCTTCATTCATCTATGTCAACAAATGTGGACAAGAGCTACCTGGCCAATCAATTCCAAGCGAACCATACGTGTGTCCATTTGAAACAAGATAACCCAACAGAAATGCAGAAATCATCCAACAATATCATTAACACAACACACAAGTAAAGTTGTGCTGAAGACCATTCAAAGACAGTTGCAGGATGACATAGACAAGGAGTTGCCAGAATTTCAAGCCGGATTCAGAAGAGAATGTCAAACTAGAGATATCATTGCTGATATCAGATGGATCTTGGCTGAAAGCAGAGAATACCAGAAAAATGTTTACTTGTGCTTTATTGATTAGACTAAGGCATTGGACTGTGTGGATAATAAGAACCTATGACAAAGAATGGGTACTCCAGAACGTTCATAAGGAACCTGTACATCGACCAAGAGGCAGTCATTCAAACAGAACAAGGCGATACTGACTAGTTTAAAATCAGAAAAGTTAAGTGCTAGGTTGTATCCTTTTGCCGTATTTATTCAATCTGTATGCTGAGAAAATCATCTGAGAAACTGGGTTATATTAAGAAGAACGTGGCATGAAGATTGGAGAAGACTCCTTCACAACCTGCAATGTGCAGATGATACAACCTTACTTGTAAGCTGACAGTGAAGAGGATTTAAAATACTTACTGAAGAAGATCAAAGACTCCTGTCTTCAGCTGGGTTGCATCTCAATGTAACAAAAACTAAAATCCTCAAAACGGAACCAATAAACATCATGGCAGAGCAGCCCTGCAGTTGTCAACACCCAAGCAAGCAGCAGTCCAGGTATTACACAAGTTTACTGCATAAGACCTCTTTAAGGTATTAAAAAGCAAACTTACGTTTGAGGACTAAAGTGTACTTGATCCAAGCCATAGTATTTTCAATAGCCTCATGGACATGTGAAAATTGAGCAATAATAAATAAGGTAAAATACAGTAGAATTAGATGCATTTGAATTATGGAATACTGAAAGTACCTAGGACTTCCAGAAAAACAAAACAAATCGGTGCTAGCAGTCCAGCCAGAATACTCCTTAGAAGCCAGGACAGCGAGACTTTGTCTCTCTTCCTTTGGACATGTTAGAAGAGACAAGACCCTGGCAGAGGAAAAATGGTCAGTGAAAGAGAAGCTGACCCCCAGCGGGATGGACTGAGAGGCAGCAGCAATGGGCTCAAACATGACAATTCTGAGACTGGTGCCGCATGGGGCGGTGTTCATTCTGTTGTAACAGGATCACCGTGAGTAGGAACCGACCCAACAGCACCTAACGACAATCACTTGAAGGAATGACTGTGTGCTCTTGTCAGCTATCACTATTTAAATTATGGTTTAAAAAGCAGTACTTTTGGTCATCGAAATTATTAGGAGATTTTATTACATGACTTCATAAACATTAGCCACCATCCACACTCCAAGGGAGAAAGATGAGGTTATCTGCTTCCGGAACCCTAGGGAGCTGTTTTACTCTGCTCTGTAGGGCCCTGGGAGTCGGAATCCACTAAGGCAGTGGGTAGACAGAGTGACTGCATCCTGGTGGATGATGTCCCCTGGGGCTGACCCCAATCTATCACGGTCCCATCTATCCATCTCTATTCCAGCCCCTTGGGAACGGCACGTGTGTACTGGGTGGGTACTGGGACAGCAGCTATGTGTCTACTAACAACAGTGCTGACCCCTCACTCTGTGTCTCCCTCCCCCCACCCCATCCACAGGCGCCAAACCTCCCCCATCCTGGACACTGGTGGACTAGGCCAACACCAAGGGACTGGATGTCTGGTGCTTCGCAGCCCAGGCCCTCCTGCTTCGTCTCCCAGCCCCAACCCAGGACTGTGAACTGGTGCCCGCTGGTTTCTCTGCTTGACAGGATGACCACAGCTGGCAGCTCCTGACTTGCCCTTGCCCACCCATGACCAGCCCCCGTCTGTGCCCTGGTGTCCTCATCAATGACATGGCATCAGAGCAGCCATGAACACGGGGCTATGGAGCTGGTACACATGCTGCAAGGCTCACACATCGGTCCTGTGTCCCCACACGGCTTAGGGACCAACCTCCCCGACACGCAGCCGATGCTGGGATCATCAGAGAGCAAGCCTGGGGGACTCTGGGTGTTTGCATTTTTTCCTTGTGTCCTCACAACTACTGTCATCCTCATGTGGTCTGAGGACACACACAGCCAAGCCACAGGGCTGAAGACACCAGGGGACAGCGGACATGCTGGAACACTGGTCACCCCCACCTGAACTCTGGTTTGACTTGCTCCCAGAGACCCAAAACCACGGCTGAAGCAGCTGCCACAGGCCAGGAGAGGGATCTGCACAGAGGAAGGCATCGAAGATTCCACAAACCACAAGCAACCAGGACTGACACCATCCTGGCCGAACTACAAAATAAACGCGCAAGTAAATGGTTCTAGAGATGGACATGAAGCCTACCAGGAGCCTGGTCTCCCACCCAGTGTCACAGCCACCAGGACCCAAGCAGGTATCACCTCAAGGGTGAGCTGAGGACAGAGCCAGAAGATTCCAGAAACTGCTCAGGTCTGTCCCAGAGGATGAGGAAGAGACCACTCCTTGGAGTGGACCTGAGAATCTACTGAGTACCTGAAGAGACACCTGAGGTGGGGACGTCCAGGGGGGACACTGTTCACACAAACAGTGCTGGGTCCCCAAAGTGGCAAGAGGCGGTGGAATGGCCAGCTGGGCCTCAGACAGTGAGTTGGCATACCCATTCCCAAGTAGGAAGAGCAGGAGAGCCCAGGGCCAAGGCCAGCTGATGCCCGAGATGAAGGCCACCTCAAACCCTATCCAGGCACCCCAACTCCTGTGTAGTAGAAAAGGGAGTCACCCTACTCACCAGAGGGGTAGAAGGGTCAGTGGAGGTCAGGCCCTGAGACCATTCCACACCAGTCCTGGGTTACAGTTGCCTGTACTGACTCCAAGTCCTCTGTGGCCAAGCGGAACGTATAGGGAGGGAGCCAGACAAGGCAGAGGTGGGAGCTGAAAGGTCCTCGTGGACAGCAGAAGTAAAGGGGTGAACTCATGTAAACCACGTACACTACCCATGGTGGGCCCCATCGTTGTGTCCTCATGCTTCATGGTGGGCCCTGCAGTGTAGTGGGTCCCTTTTATATGGTCTTATCATCATCACCAAATGATTGGATGGGACTATGCAAGTAAGGTGCTTGTTGCCCACTACAGTGATGGGCAGCTTTCTAGTAATAAAAATACAGTGCATGGCACACTTGTGGAGTGGGCCCACACAAAGGAGATGTATGAAACTTTAAGGAGAGGACAGGGTCAGTTTTGCCAATCCACTAGGCTTAAAACGAGCCATCAAAAAGGAGGGTCTCACTACGACCAAGTAGAAAAGCCAGGAACAGAATGTGTCCTTTGAAACCGATTCCCTGCACTGAGAACCTGCTAAACCCTGGAGACAGAGTTAACACTAACAAAGGGGATGGCAAGAGATGGCATGAAGCAGTGGCAAAGATAGTAGCAGCAGAGGTAGCAAAACCAGGAGACTGGCTGGAGATGACACAGTGGGCTTCCCAGCTCATGGAGCAAAAGAGCTGAGCGCCTTCAGGCTGAGCTTTGCTGGCTGAATAGGGAAGGGGCTCTGGGCGATGGAGCTAGGCTCCCCAGCCCACAGAGCTCGGGAGCTGAGCACCTTCAGGCTGAGGTTTACTGGCAGAGTGGGGTGCCTCTGGGCAGTGATCAGTGAAACCGAAGAACTCTGTAACACTTGTTTAAGCAGAGCAGGTGCCAGGCGGGGCCAAGGGCCAAGAGGTTTGCCTGCAGGCATCACCCAGAAGCTATCGTGAGTCATTCCTGATCCTAAATTGTAACCTGGTACTTCCCTAATAAACCCCAGAATTGTGAGTATGATCTGTGGTCACTGAACCCAGCAGAGAAGCAGTGTCCTAGAATGGACAGCTGGCGTCAGAACCGGTCAAAGGAACAAAACGAAGAGCTGCTTCACAGGAATGAGCCTTGGACTGTAGGTGAGGCAAATGGTGATTCACCTGCCCCTTGGTGAGGTTAAACGAGGAAGTCTAAGCCCCCAGACCCCCATGCTTACAGCTCTCCTCTCCCAGCCTTCCCACATCAGAATAAGTACCCACTCGTCCCACATGACCTGTCTGGACTCCCTAAGGCCCATAGCTGTGCCCGGCTGGCTGCACCCCTGGGAACATGCCCTTCCCTTCTCAGAGCAGTGCCTTCGAGGAGCCTTCGCCATGGTTCCCACCATATCCCGAAGTCCAGCAAGAGGGCGACACCACACATCCAGAACCCACATCTAAAGCCAGAACCTCCTGACACCAGCAAACCCATGGGCGGGGTCAGGAAAAGCTGGGCCCTGGGACCCTGAAACCCCACAGCAGGTGACTCACCCCCTTTCCTTCTCCGAATTGAGGCTTGGAATCAAGAAACAGAGCAAAGGGAGTAAGAGGCGGCTTCATCCTCGATACCCGGGCCCCATTCCCCACACCCATTTTCCAGTCTACACCTCCCACCCCATCAGGCACCCCAGCTACAGTATCCTAGCCTCCATTCCCGTATTAAATGGCAAAAGGCATGTCTTCCAAAATGCCAATCCATTCACAGTTCAAAAATCACAAAGAAGCATGCACATGTGTGCACAGACATGCAATAGCTACACATATGCACATGCACACTGCAATATACAGGTATGCACACAGTGCACATGTTTGTGTGTGCATGTGCACACTGCAGTACATGTCACAATATACACATGTATGCACATGCCCTCTGCAATACACATACATGCCCACAGTGCACGTGCTTGCATGTGCACACATGTAATATGAACATGTATGCACACCATGCACGTGCTTGTGTGCACCCAGGCAATGTAATGTGCATGAATGTGCATGCAGTTTCACATGCTTGTGTGTGCATGCACGCATATATACATGTATGCACATGCACACGGCAATACACACATATACACACCATGCACGTGCTTGTGTGCACATGCATACACATGCACACTGAAGCACACATATATGCACACTGTGCACATGCTTCTGTGCGCCCATGTAATGTTAACATGCTTGTGCGCACACACATGCATATGCACACATGTATTCACACAGACATTAAGTGTACATGCACCCATAGACACACAAACACATGGAGAATTCCCTCACGGTTCAATCATTTTGAGTTTAGTTTGTTCAGAAAGGAGGAAAAACTCCTATAATGGCCAGTTCAGAGGCCACTGCTACCTAGAACTCTCCATGCAAAGCATGCGCTACATGAAGGGCAGCCATGTGTGTCTCGCCAAGAAACCTTTCCTTGACTGAGGCCAGTCACAAGACCACACGGACCGTGTGCTGCCAGCCCTGACGGCTCTTCTCTGTTCTCATCAGAGTAAGTAAGAAAGGCACCCAAGGAGTGATGTACAGTGAAGTCAAGACTTCTGGGATCCTAAATAGGCAGTAGAGGCCTCCGCTGGCTTGGCCGTCCACTAAACTCCTAGACCCCACCACATCCCTGCCTTAAGCTGAACAGATGGACACAAGCAGACGTCAGCTGCAGGGAACTTTGGCCACCTGTCTCAGAAGGAGGGTCCCCACCCAGCCTTTCCTCTCATTCCAACCCAAGCCTTCCTCTTAAACTTCTGCTCACACCAACCCCATGCTAGAAGTCCCCACTGCACTCCCCTCCCACATCCTCTGAGCAGCATGTGGCCACCCTGAAATGCAGCTGCACCCTGGCCATCTGCTCCATCACTTCACACTTCCTGTCTTCCCAGGTGTGCAGTCTCCTTCCTCAAGAGACAGCTGGATCCTGGAGATGCATTCTCACTCGACATTGAGCTGGAAATGAACCAACAGGTTGGCTTCCCATCCTTTAAAAGTACAAACGTTGGACTACGGGCTCATCTCCGAGGACCTGGGAAACCCTGATGCTGGCGGGGTCTTCACACAAGAGGGCACAAGCGGCCAGTCAGAAGGTCGGCACGTGGGGCAGGCTACCCAGGATGGCTGCCCTCGGCTGCCCAGCTGTCTGAACAGCTCCACACAAGTCAGCGTAGATAGAAGTGTGGACCGAAGTTCAAAGAAAAGCTGGTGAAGAGGATGCTGACCTGAGACCATACTTGGAAGACCAGTCTAGGAAGCAGTCATGTGGTGAGGCCAACAGTAAGGGGGGTAGGAGACCACGCTGGGAGAAACACGGAGGAGCACAAGTTGCTTCTTCATACTGGTCTTGGTTCTTCAGACAGAAACAGCTCAGAGAGCAGACAGCCATTCTTCCCTGATCCCAGGGTTATGAATCTCAGGTTGCTCAAGCCCCTCTCTGTGTAGAATTAGGAGGGTCCCTTCAGAACATGAAGCTGGCATCATGTGATAGCCTTTGGCAGGAGACTCAGGGGTGTCCAGCCAGCCCCAGCTACTTGTTGGTATCTGGCTTGTTGATTTGTCTGGATCCTGATTCAGTGTGACTGGTCAGTTCTCTGTGACTGGCACTAGACCCAAGACACAAGGGCCAGAAGCATGGATTCTCTGCCTCACCTGTGACTGAGTGGGTTTAAACAACAGACTTCTAGGTAAAGAAGACTTTGGAAATATTTTTCCATCATTTTTTGATATCTGTCCTAGTGTGGCACTACAGGATAATGCACTGGACCACAAGGTCAATGGTTCAAACCCATCAGTCGCTCCTCGGAAACCCTAAACTGACTCAATGGCACTTAACAAACAAAATACTGCTGATGAGAAGTCAGTTACTGAGCTAGCCATTGTTCTCTGGTTAGGTTACAATTTGTTCTCTATGTTCTGCAGCTTTCCCATCAGGGGTCTAGATGTAGATTTGTTTTTATTTCCGTCTCTTGACTTAATCTATCTTTAATCTGCAGAGTCAGGTCTTTATTCATTGTTGGAATATTCTTAGCCATTTACTCTTCACACAGTGCCTCCTCTCCACTAATTTTATTCTTTTCCTCTAGAAATGCTATTAAGTAGATTCTGGGATTTTTCTTATCTTCCACATCTCTTCACTGCTTTTTAATATTTTGCATCTTTTTTGCTGTCCTCTCAGTAATTTCCTCAGATTTATCTTCCAATTCATGGTTTCTTTTTTCAGCTACATCTAGTCTACTGTTTCTCCCATCCAGAAAAGAATTTGATATTTTTGGTTTCAATAAAAGTGCTTTTGGGGTCTTTCTAAAACCTGCTTTTATTCTTTTTTGTACCATCCTTATTTCTCATAATCTTTCTTTATGAACTCTGTTATTCCTTTTAACTTTCTTAAAAATTTAAAGATCTCACTTCATTATCTCTTTCCTATTTTCCTGTGATTTTACCGTCTCACATTATACAAAGAAGCTCTAGTGGTGCTGTGGGGTAAGCACTGGACTGTTAATCACAAGATCAGCAGTTCAAGCCCACCAGTAGCTCCATGGGAGACAGATGAGGCTGTCTGCTCCTATAAAGATTTACAGCCTCCGGAAGTCAGCTACAGTCTCACTATACGGCCTCGCTGCACGGCCTCGCTGCACGGCCTCGCTGCACGGCCTCGCTGCACGGCCTCGCTGCACGGCCTCGCTGCACGGCCTCGCTGCACGGCCTCGCTGCATTCTCACTATACGGCCTCGCTGCACGGCCTCGCTGCGTTCTCGCTATACGGCCTCGCTGCACGGCCTCGCTACGTTCTCGCTATACGGCCTCGCTGCACGGCCTCGCTGCACGGCCTCGCTGCACGGCCTCGCTGCACGGCCTCGCTGCACGGCCTCGCTATAGTGTCTCTAGAAGTTGGAGTCAACTCGATGGCAGTTTCTTTGGTTAGTTAGATCACATGATTCCATGATCTCTAGGTCTTTAGATTTTTAACTGCAGTTCTTGAGCTTGGTTCTAGCTTTCTCATTTCCCACGAATCTAAAGTCATCTCCTGACATCATGGGGGCATCACCTAAACCCAGGCCCTATATCCAATTCCGAGGTCAAGAGGACTGACGCTACCAGCTTCTTCTCACTCCTCTGGCTCAGGCCTGCTCTCTTCAACTTTGAGGCCTGGGGATTTCACTTCTTTTTACTGAGTCAGCTATGTGTTTATTTATTTCATTTTATTTATTGTCTCTGGAGAAGGAAATCCTAAACATGCCACCCTAACCTCTCTTAATCTTGTGCTCTACATACAGTTCAACATAACCACGACTGCCAGTTTGGGGTGGAAGGTGGGTTCGGCCAAGCCAGGGTCAGGGGTAGTTGGTGGGTAAGATCAGGGGACACTGCAAGGACCAGGGTCCCTTCTACAATCTGTACTTGATATTCTGAGGTTGGGCTCAATATCAAGAATGCTATTAACTGCCACATATGTCAGGATATGCCCACAATGAGGCAGTTAACAGTCGCAGATGAGAGGCTTCAAAAAGCTTGTAGGAAAATGGAATGAAGAGATAAGTTCTTCATACATTTTTGAAGCTCCCCTCATAAGTCAGGACATGTCTGTGATAAGACTGCCAACAGTCACATATGTCAGGACACACCCACAATGAAGCTGTTAATGGTCACATTAGGACATGCCTACACAATCCCGTTAATAGTCATATGTCAGCACATGTCCATAATTGGGTCCATGATTAGGCTGTCAATGACCACATATGTAAAGACATGCCCACAGGCTGCTAACAGTCACATGATATGGGACACATCCACCATGAGACTGTTAATGGTCACATTTAACAGTCACATGTCAGGACCTGTCTATGATAAGGCTGTTAATGATCATGTATGTCATGACATGTCTGTGGCGAGGCTGTTAGTGATGTGTGTCGTGACGTGTCTGTGGTGAAGCTGTTAAGGAGCATGCATGTCCGGACATGTCTGTTAGTGTTCATGTATGTCAAGATATGTCTGTGGTGAGGCTGCTAGTGATTGTGCGTGTCAGGACATATCTGTGGTGAGGCTGTTAGTGAACGTGCATGTCAGGACATGTCTGTGGTGAGGCTGTTAGTGACCATGCGTGTCGTCAGGACATGTCTGTGGCAAGGCTGTTAATGGTCATGTGTGTCAGGACATGTCTGTGGTGAGGTTGCTAGTGATCATGTGTGTCTTGGCATGTCTGTGGCGAGGCTGTTAATGATCATGTGTGTCAAGACACGTCTGTGGTGAGGCTGTTAGTGATCATGTGTGTCGTGACATGTCTGTGGCGAGGCTGTTAATGATCATGTGTGTCAAGACATGTCTGTGGTGAGGCTGCTAGTGATCATATATGTCGTGACATGTCTGTGGCAAGACTGTTAGTGATCATGTGTGTCAGGACAAGTCTGTGGTGAGGCTGTTAATTATCAGGTGTGCCAATATATGTCCATGGTGGGATGTTAATGGTCATGTGTGCCAGGGTATGTCGGCAATGAGACTGTCAATGGTCATGTGTGTCAGAACATGTCGTGTGTGTGTGTGTGCGTGGACATGTCTGTGGTGAGGCTATTAATGGTCACATGTGTTGGGGCATGTCTATCGTGAGGATGCTCATGGTCACGTGTGTTAGAACATGTTTGTTGTGAGGCTATTAATGATCACATGTCAGGGCATGTCTATCTTGAGTGTATTAATGGTCACGTGTGTCAGGACATGTCTGTCATGAGGCTGTCACTGGTCACGTGTCAGGACATGTCCATGGTGAGGTTGGGAACAGTCACGTCTTATCAGAACACACCCATGATGAGGTCCCATCAAAAGCCTGACACCCTCTTATTCCCTCCCTCACAGCACACAGGCTTTCTCATCAGCACACTGTTAAAGTCTCGCAAGCGCCTTCTGAGGTTGCCCCACCTGACCGATGAGCAGCCAGACACAGAGAGAATCAAGTGAGTGCAAAGGCCGCTCACAGAGCAGCTGGCAGAACCCCACCGGCCCTGCCGTCCTTCAGTCAGATGAGGTGCACGAGTGAAGTCAGAACAGAGCTGTGGCGAGCCCAGAGACGACCCATGCACACACACAGGCACCTACAGTCACATGTGCACACACATGCATGCGGATGCACACCTGCACTAACACATGCATATGCATCCTTGCACACACGCTTGCACACAGAGAAAGGACACCTGAGGTCAAGGCCCTTCTACCCAAACACACCTGTTCGTGTCATGCCCAGTCCCTGAACCCCAGCCCACAGATGGCCCATTTTCAGCACCGTGGCAGTATGCCATGCATTTGCCATTTGACCTACTCATAGGTCTGTCCGTTCTCGCCTGTCCCACCTGCCAGTGTCCGCCTGCCACTCACCAAGCTCCTCCAGTTCAGCCGTCATGGACTTGGAGCGGAGGGTCAGTGTGGTGCTGGGGGCCCTCTTGGGGGGAGGCGGGGCTGCAAAGAAGAGGGAGCCTTTGGCCCTCCTGTCCAGCAGCAGGCGGCGTGGCGTGGCCAGGTGCAGATGCCACTTCCGCTCCACCGCCTGGACCTCCTCGTACTCCCGCGAGGAGGAGTCGCACTGCGCGAGGATCTTGTTGAGGCTGCGGCTGGATGCAAACTTCTTCATGGCGAGGGAGCTCAGGGGCCCCCAGGGCTGAGGCCGTGGGACGGTGGTCAAGGGCCCCTGGCTCGGAGGGCCATGGAGTGGGGGCTGGGAGGGGGCTCCCCACAGGCCCAGCTCTGGCTGCCCCTGAGCACCCGCCTGGGTCCAGGCAGCCCTCAGCCTCCTGGGGGCCACGGGTGTGGCCAAGTGGAGCCGCAGGGCCTAGGCTAGGCCCAGGCTGCGGCCGCCACGGCGCGGCAGGAAGACGCCTTTCCTCTTCCCTTCAGGTGCCGCCTCCCCCTTCCCTCCGACAATAAGGCAGCGCAGCGTCAACCTCACGGTTGCTATGGCAACTCCGGCCTCCAAGCAGCTGCTGCTGGTGTTGAAAGGAGGGCGGCCACCACACCAGGGGCTGGGGGAGCCAGGAAGGAGGAGGCAGGGGCCCTAGGAAGTCATATGGGCCTAAGGACAGGCCACCCAGGTCAGGGGTCAGAGACCAGAGGTCAGTAGGCTAACCTCAGAGCTGGGGTTGGGCCCAAGACCCAAATCTGGATCCCTTGTCTGGGTTCAGCAATCAGATGCCAGCGTTCTAGGGCCAGGGGTGGGAATGTTAAGAGGGGCTAGGGACAGTGGCCTGAGCCCTCACCTCGGCGGCGAGCTCCATCTTCTTCAGGCTTCCTGGTTACTGACACAACCTTCATGACGAGGCGGTTCCCTCCCTGACGGATCAGGGCCACCACCTGCTTATGGCCCACCTTCACCACGTTCACACCGTTCACCTGCAGACACACAAGCTACTCTAGCTTCCTCTGGGGTCGGGGCGGGCGGGCAGGCGGGACGGGTCTCACCTCGATGAGGAAGTCTCCAGTCCGTAGCCCAGCCCTCCAGGCTACACCCTCCACGTCCACAGACTCCAGATACTGCAGCGCCGGGAAGGCAGGTGTGGGCGTGAACTCCTCGATGGGGGTCTCGGCTGCAAAGGGGTGGCACCGTCACCTCCCACGGGTAGTTAACAGGGGGCTGAGCAGGGCCATGCAGTGGGGGGCCCCCAGCACAGCACCTGAGAATCTGTAGCCCCATCCCCTAAGCATTCCCTGCTTCCCCAACAGCAACAAATGGGACATGAGGGAGGGCCGGAGCCCAGACCTACACCACATCTACCATCTCCAGGAGACTGGGAGCAAGAGCCAGGAAACATGCCCTGAGCACACGCCCACCCCCTCAGCCCCTGCACAGAGCCCCAGCCAGCACCTTTGGCCCCTCGGAGGACAAAGCCGAAGCCCTCGTGGTCCCGTTTCTGCAGCACGGCCACCTTGTCCTCGATGACATAGTCACTGAGAGGAGAGCAGAGAGGCTGCGGGCCAGCAGGGCTCAGTCCCCCCTCTCCTCGCCCTCTGACCTCTGCCCCCACCCTCCATATGCCCCGGCCACCTTACCTGTGGGATGTGAAGCTGTCGTAGGAGCCCACTGTGTAGTGGCGGAAAAGTCGCTTGGTCCGGTCCTCCCGAGTTTCTGAAGGGAGTTTCAGGAGCTGATGGAGGGGTCACGTCCTGCAACTGGACTGAACTGCCCCCAACTGTGCCAACCACGTCTGCCCATGCGCACTCATGCGTGCCCAGACAGAAAGGGCCAGGAGTTCCGAGGAGCTGGGTGGGAATCCTGGGCTCTGGGGTGGGGGGTGGGGGGGGGGGGGCTGTCTCATGTCTGTGTCCGAGAACTGCAGTAATGTATCAGGCTGTGACACATGTGTATGCATCTTTGTATCCATGACCCAGTCCGGCATGCTGTGTTCGTGTGTCTGTCTACAAACGTCCATGGCCCACAGTTGTGTACAAATGCCACGACGTGCCCCCCAGGCAGCAGTGCGGGAGGGGGGGCTGCCTCATGTTGTCACCAGCACAGCCCCTGACTGTGGCTGGAAGTCACATCAGTGCCTCCGCAGGACTCCCCCAAAGCTGTCCTAGTGATTGTAGTCTCGCCCGGCAGGCACGGCACGACTGGCCACTGTCACCTCCTGTTCAGCTGCAGTGTCCACCCCAGATTCCAGCCTAGTCCCAGCCTTGCTTCCTGGTGCCTCAAGCAGCTCTTCAAGACAAGGCGGCCATGAGGACCCAGCACCTCCCTCGTCCTCTCTCCGGGCACGTCTCCAGACCCCAATATTCCTCCGACAGGTACTTATCAATCTGCTACTGGGTCCTGGGCACTGTTTGCTTTGGGTTCTGGGAATATAGAAAAGACTAGTATCTGTCCTCGTGGAATTTGTGAGCTATTTGGGAAGGAGAATACACTAACCAAAGAAAAGGAAAACCCCAGATATTGAGTACTGACAGGAAATGTGCAGGGAACAGGTCAGCTCGTAGTGGCCACAGGAAGGGAGCCCCTATGACAGAACAGCTGTGGGCCAGCAGGGTAGGATTTCTGGGGAGGGGCCAGCAAGAACGAGTCCACAGTGTTTGTAGGGTACCCAGAGGGCAGGAGCTGTGAGGCTGGGGCAGATGTGAGATTAACGGGGGTCCACGGTGTCCCCCACTAACTGTGAGCGCCGTAAGAGTACAGACCATGTCTTGATTATCTCTGTAACCCTATGCCAAGCACAGGGCCTGGAAAAAGCAGGGTCATCAGGCGTTGGACAAATGGGTGGACGCACCGTTGTATGGCTCAGGGCACAGGTAGACCTGTGACAGATGTTGTTGTTGTTGCTAAGTGTCATCAAGTCGGTTCTGACCCACAGTGACCCTGCACAGCTTTTCCCAGCAGCAACTGGTGGGTTTCAACTGCTGACCTTCTGGTTGGCAGTCTAGTGTGTATCCTACAGTGTCACAGGGACCAAAATAGATGTGTAAGTGGACGGGTCACTGGACGTGTGGTCAGCTAGGTCAAATGATAAAAGGACACATGAACGAGAGGGGGGTGGGTGGATTTTCTAAAGGCTCTGTCGATCTATGGGCTGATAGGTGAGTACATGGGTGCTAGGAGTATGGGGGAGTCAAAGGATAGATGGAAAGAAAGATGGGGGGATGGAAGGACCCCCTAAACCCAAACTCACTGCCGCTGAGATGATTCCCTGTAAAACAGGAGGACCGTTCCCCAGGACCTCCAAGACTATAAACCATCCCAGGAGCAAACATCCTCATCATTCGTCCTTGGAGCATCTGCTGTGTTTGAACTGCTGACCTTGCAGTTAGCAGCCCAATGATTATCGCACAGGCTCCTATTCATGTCAGAATCACAGATGTACGAGGAGGACTGGCCTGTGTCAACGTCCTGCAGTTAAATCCTGTGACCCTCAGGAAGCTGACTGTGCCCTTGAGTCTTTCACGGAGGGAAAAACCATCTGTGGAAGCCCCCACGTTCTGACGGCTGTATTTTCCCACATCAACACCCTCCCAGTACTTGCTTCTCCTCCTCCTCTTCCCACAGGCACCACGGTGGCCAAGAATACCTGCGTCCATCCTTCTGAGCCCCTGACCATTTGAGCCAGCCACACCATTCAAGTGGGTCCCAGACTTTCTGCCCCCTGCCCCTCCACACCAGCCCTGATGTGGTAGTGTGCGCGGCACCTGCCTGCTTGCAGACGCTCACCAACTTTGCAGTTCATTAGCTTCGCAGTTTTGGATTTTATCGACCAAACCAACTGTATTCATTACATAACTCAGACTCACTTTCCGGTTTTGTTAATCATACACGTAAAAGCCAGCTGAAGCAAAAACACTAGCATGACCTCTCCAAAATGACAAGCAACCACACGGAAAGAAAGGAGGTGTGCCGTCACGCCAGCACGCAGCTGGCAGGACCTCACGCAGACCTGCCCCTGGGTCTTCCTAGTCATCCTTCCTCAGTCAACGTGGAATGACATGACTGCAGCCCCTCCCAACAAGCCGGCCTGAGCAAGGGAAGGGGGACCCATCTCAGTGCCAGGACTGGCCGGCAGGGCCCCACCTGCTTCTCAGTCCTTCCTGGTCCTCACTTCTGTCCCAGAAGCAAGTGTTTTGGACTTGGGCCTATTGGATACCAGCTCCTGGCCCCTCTAGCAGAACTCAGCCCAGACTCTGGTCAGAGGATGCTCACAGCAGTCTCTGCTGAGGAGGGTGGGAGGAGGCCATGCGCTCACCCTTCCCAATGCACTTCCCGACCAGGCAAGGCCTCCAGCTTCTCCACAGACTCCTGCTGGCTCTGCTCCTAACCCTCAACAAGCTGCCCCCAGCCTCCCTCCTGCCTGCCATACTGCTCGGGTTGCGTGGCTGTGGCTTGCTCCCAGTCCAGCTGCACACAAGCTCCACTCACCCGATCCACGAGGGGCAGTAGCTACGCCCTAAGACCCTTGGAGCCACCAGTGAGACCAGACCACAGCTCTGCCATTCGGGGCTGGGATTCAACCTCTTGGAACCACACTCATCTCTCGGGGTTGCTGGCAGCAGTCACGCATCAAGAGGCCTGAAGGGTCCAGGTACCCAGCGTAGACGTAACACACCAGGCCTATCCCACAGCAATACCTGCACAAGGCTCAGTTCAAATCCCACCTCCACTACACAAATTATTCCACCACAGGGCCCCAGCAAACCCACGCACATGCATGTGCCCCTACATACATGTCCACACATACATGCTGTCATGGTGACTACACAGCTACAGCCATTGGATCCTGCCTTCATAGCCAACAATAAATACAAAACAAATTGCATCCAAACAAAACATGCCATGTGCATGTGCCCAGACACGAAACACCACACGCACATTCACACACAGCACACATGTACACATCTGCACACATCACGTCACATGCACGTGCTCCAAACACAACATGCCTCCACACACACATCTAGACACATCACATGCCAGAGACAACAACAGCACACGCACCACACACTGCATACACATGGCAGGAATCAACACGCCATGTATACAGCTAGACACAGGACTCGTTCACACATCTAGACACAACACACCACATGCACACATCCATACATGTTCAGACACACTCCAAATCACATGTGCATGCTCCAGACACAACACACACGTCCAAATATCCCACATCACGTGCAAAGACACCACATGCATATGTGCCCCACATACGCACATGCTGCACACACACCACATTTACACCTCCATACGCATGCCTAAACACATCCCACACATGCTCCAGACATAACACAACACATACTCATGCCCCACACACCATTCATGTGTCATGTGTCTCACACAAGTACATACTATACACACCACTTATGTCCCACACATGCACACGTGTATGCATTCCACATACCACACATCTCACGTATGCACACTGTGCATGCCACATGTATGCACACATGGCCCACCTATGTATACTCACGACACACATGTACACTCTATGGTACACATATGGACCACACATATACAGTACACACTCCACATACACCACACACATCATGTGCACCCCACACTGGCTTGTGCCACTCCTGTAAGGTTTGCTGGTCCTCCAGATCATGGGGTTGGGGACCAGGCCAACAGCAGGGTCTGGCCAGAGGGCTCCGAAGGACCAGTCTCAGCCTCCACCAGTAAGAACTCTAGATGCCCAGACTCCCCAGGGGGCTGGACTGAGGCCTTTTCCAATCCGGGGGGCAGCCCACTACAGTGTGGCCCTAGCTCACCGAGGGCAGCCCCTCTGGCTCTAAGTGGTCTCATTTCCTCTGGGCTGGTCTTGGCCTGCCTGCTCTACCCACTCAGACAATCTGTCCACCTTGGACAGATGCCTCCTTTCTCCCAGTGACCTTCTTTACATGCCCTCCAGCCAGGAAAGAGCTGCGCCTCCAAGGACCTCCTGTTTGCGTGGACCATGCGGGGCTGCCTCAAGGCCATGGGACTTGTGCGCAATCACTCAGCTGTCTTCTTGCACATGAGTATGCATCCGTCATGCGTGTTCTGCAGGCATGGCACGTCAGTCTTCACTGTGTGCAATGTGTATGTCCATTACCTGTGTACCTGGTTACCTGTATGAGGGTCTGTAAGTATGTGAGATGGTGGACACCCAGGTGTGTATCTGGTTGGGTACATGAGTTTGCATGCAGTTTGAGGTGTGTTGGGTTGCACTTCTAGTCTCTTGGATGTGGACACCCTATGAACTTAACTCCCAGCAAGACCAAAGGGCTCTGGGAAGGGATGTGTCCTCAAGAGCGTACAGGGTCACTCACCGTGCCGTGTGTCATACTGTCTCATCTGCACCTCCTCCACGCAGTCGGCCGGGAACCAGCCTGTGCGGCCTTTCACGGTGCCCTCCCAGAAACCGCCCTCCCCGATGCTGAGCACTGGAGGGACAGAGCCAGGCGGGCTGTTAGAACATAGTTGCCCAGGTCCCCCTCCATGGGCCGCCACCTCCCCAGCCCCAGGCTCAGGTGCCCTCTCTTCTCTCACCATTTCTCCCAGCCTTATCCCACTTCCCTGCTCCTCCCTGGAAAGACTTTGGGACAAGAAGAGGAGGAACAGATGGGTATGGCACAGGATGGGCATGTGGGGGACAGAGAGACACAGATGGACAGACTCAGGGAGACAGAGGACACAGAGAATGGGACCAGCATCCGCTCCCATCCCACCTCTAAGTCAAGCCACATCCTCAATGTCACCCACCCCAGGGGTCACTACCAAGACATCTGGTCATCATGTTGTACCCAGAAGGTTAGACCACATGACAAACCAAGGAGGATCCAACCTTACAACTCTGCTGCTTCCTCAGCTCCCATGGACAGAGGGAAACCCAGAAGACAGAACCCAGAAATGACAAACACCCCCTCACTGGCACAGACGTACCCACAAAATGAGAGGGGCCTCATATTGTCACGGGACTTGCACTGAGAAAACCTCGAAACACAAGGAGGCCATTCTAAACAGAGAGCTGCCTTGTGTCCTGTGATTTTCAGTGCCAGTCCTGTGACAATACCTCATTGGCACAGAAGCGCCCTAGGATGAGGGACCCCCTAACGACAGAAGACTAAGAGAGACTCCCAGGGCAGATGCCCCCCCCCTCCCGCCTCAAGCCATTACAGTGGCCCCCGGGCCCCTCCAGGGAAACCCAGGTCCCCTGGCCTCGGTGGCACGCTGGCGGCCTGGCAACCCCGAGCCCCCCGGCCCCGCCCCCGCCGGCCCTCACCCTTCACGGCCTCGCCGCGGTGCAGTGGGATCTCGCCCTCGCCCTGCGGGGTGTGCGCCTTCACCGCGATGAACTTGCGGCCAGGAACGGCGCTGTAAAGTTTCCGCTTCGGGCCCCGGGGCGGCGGTGCGGGGGGCGCGGGGGCCACCGGGCCAGGGCCAGCTGCGGCGCCCGGGCCACCTGGGCCGCTTGGGCTGTAGACGAACACGTAGGTGACGGAGGCGATACCAGGGGGCAGCGGGCACGCGAAGCCGGC